TGTTCTCTGTGTTGTGTGCGGTAGTCGAGGAGTCTCCTCACAATAGCAGAAATCGGCTATTGTATGTTCCACGGTTATAGGCAACAATGATGTCTAGCAACAGATGCACACACATTAGTCAAGAATCGTCTTATCCACAGTCGGAGGTCTCAACAGCGCCCCTTACAGCAATGCTTGCGATGGTGGTGATTGACTCGAGAAGGACGAGGAGGAGGGTACAAATAACAAAACACGACAAGAGAAAAAACGCATAAAATTCAATTGGGGTGAATGGCGCGAATGGTACGGTATCAGGTAGGGGTAGTCACCATAGGAGGTGTCCGAGCCCCACATGAACCTGTCATAGACGGCCTCTTCCTCGACCCACTCATAGCTCGTAGTTGTTCCACCAGGCGAGCGACAGGCACACGATACATACTCAAGGACACCGCCGATTCGAACCTAAGACGACCACCAATGTGAAGCATGTTGATAGGATGAGGAGGGCGACACCTCTCGGTCCCTTCCTCGATGTCAGCAAGGAGTCTGTCGATCAATATGACTGCCAGACTAGCCCTACTATATGCTTGAGGAGAGTTCCCTAAGGCCACCTGCGAACACTCAGTTCACATCTCGAACCACAGCACCGCCATACCTCGGCAGCAGCCGACCGTCCGAGGTCCAACGCTTGCAACAGAACCCTTCGACCAGGCCTGGCTGCCGGCAACTGATAGGACCATCGAGACCACGTGGTCCAGACCAATGCACTGACCTCCTCCTCCTCCTCCACAACATGGACACCCTCAAGACGAGCGATCAAGTCCTTCCTCAATTCTTCACTGTGCGCACACTCTCGTTCGAGATTGGTAGCCATGTCTGGGTCAGCCACTTCCAAGGCCAACTCTGCGTATCTGATGACCACCTGCTAGGCAGATTCGAGACCGGACACAACGCACCGCTCTGACCGATCAAGGACGGCTAAGGCGTCACAGAGATCCTCGCGGTACTCCTCCAGCTGCTTCCAACCTGTGGCATGAAGACGATGCTAAAGCCAAATGTTTTGATCTACCTGGTATTTTCGATCCACATCGACGGCGGTTACCGAGACGATCCTTGCGGCAGACCGTACCAAAGCCCAGGTCGTCGGTTTGGACGCCAGCCACCCGCATTGCAATTCGCTTCACCTGAGCCGACATCAAGGGCCATCACCATCAGCCCCACCATTGGCGAAGAGTACCTCAGTGACTACACGGCAGATATCAGTAGCATACTTGGTGACAGCAGGGGACGTCGAAGACCGGCTCATGCTACCTTAACGCAGATATGACCATAGCTCACCATTCAAGGTCGACTCACTGCCGCTGATACCACTCCATGTGGTCCTCCCACAGCTCAGACGGCCAGTAGGTGTCGGTACTCGAGAGGAATCCGCACCAGACTCTTCCTGGCAGGAACTCAGAGGAACGATACGAGCTCGCGGTCCCGACCACACCTGCGAGCCGAATGACATCGCTCTGGAGGCATACGTCCGTCGGTCGGGTAGAGTGACAAGCTGATCTTGAGAGCTCATGGGATGTTCCCCTCCACCTTTGTCGAGATATCTGACTGCCATCTAGACACTAACAGCGACGCTCCACGATGTTACTGCTTCGGGTCTGTGACTTCGGTTATCATCACGAACTCTCCTTCAGATGTGTCATCCGATGTGTCCTGAACACAGAGTTCGATGAGCCCGAGCGAGCCTGGACTTGCGTACTCCCAGAGTTGCATCTTCTTGAAACACCTCAGCTCCACAGACTATATCTTGTACATTTTCCGCAAGAGATACATTGGGGACCAGGAGGGGACTGTCGGCACGTGTTTTCTTTCCTGTTCGAGTTGATTGGCCACTCTAAGTCAAAGAGCAGCTAGCCCATCATCAGCTATGAGGGTTACCATCTCCATGGAATGCGGCTGCTCCTGGGAGCGGTCAGAAAGGCCCATGCTTGAGCTTGATCGGACGGGATTGTGCTCACGTGCTCGATCATCGGTAGGTTGACGCATCTACCGAGGCACCATTTTGGTATATTCCATAACCGGATGTTGATATGAAAGCGAATAAAAGAGTTGGAATGCCACATAGAGTAGAGTTGGATTCGCCTCACCTTCGCCGGCGCCGGCCTGCCCATTCCAAGGCTCTTGGCAGAGGTGGAGGAGGGTGAGTTTTTCCGCCCGAAAGTTGGGGTATCATCTTCGTTTTGATGTATCTAACGGACCGCTTGACAAGCGTGTCCATAGTAGATGTAGAGCTACGACATATGGATGCTTATAGAAGAGCTCAGCCTCCATCCTGCGCTCTGGATCTTTGACCAACACTCGTTTCAGCAGGTCAAGGCATGAGGCCGAGCAAACGTCCCCATACGTGATTGGCGGACCGCTCTCGATGCGCTTCAACAATTCAATAGTACTCTGAGCGCCTGGATATGGTGGATACCCGTGGAGCATCTCATACAAAATACAGGCTATAGACCAGAGGTCAGCACGA